ACTGGTTTATTCTGTATACAGGGCAGGTTGCCGTACTTTGGCTGTTTGCTTATGACAGAGCTGAGCGTCCTTGCCCCGAGGGCGTCAGTCGTGGTGTGTTGTTTAACCGGAAGTGCCTGTGTCAACAGGAGGGAGTGACTGGCTGAGTTTTGGTTATGTGATTGGACGGATCAGGGGAGGAATAGGGGGGGGGGGGCGCATACTCACATGGCCTCACGGGTATCAAGCCAGAGCGTTTAACGCGCGTGAGGTGATGACAGTCTGTGAGGGTAGCCGGGAGTCGCTGCAACTGGACGGGAGGTGCCTCAGTTCTAGTTAGTGGGGGTGGCCGTGTGTCAACGGTTGTAGGGGTCATCGACCGACAAAACGGAGCCGGAGAAGGAGATCCTGGAGAGGCTGCTACACCCTCGAGTGCTGACCTTTACGCTCATGCTTGTATACATTTCTGCGAGTAATTGTCGATGTCTTTATTAGGGTAATGCTGCAGAAACTTACCGAGATTGTGAGAATTTTCTTGAAGGATACACACTACTTAAGCAGGCGTGTTTCCGAGCGAGACTTGTATATGCGACTGGGAAGATGTTAATTCAGTCGCTACCACACCAGCATAAACTTGGTGCCTGCTTAGCAGCTTTGAAGCCGCACCGAAGCAACATTTCTCGTTTAAACCGTGTGTCATATTTCCAACCGAGGTTTCTTCAGTTGGCTAAGGTCAAGAAGATGCTTTTTCTCCATCGACGGACTTCTTTACTTTCCGTAGGTGAAGCGAGAACTGCAGCAGATACACAAGCGTCTCGCCGCGGAGGGTGAGGATGCGGCAACCGGTCTGGCGAGAGAGCTCGACCAACTGGATTCTGACATTGTCACCCTGAACGAGATCACTGTGGCGGCGAAAACCCTCAAGTAAGACTCCTAAGCTCTTACCACTGTGGCCCAGGGTTTCCTCTAACAACCCATTCTCCGCTTGTTGGTCTATCTCCGCCGGTGATTTATATCTTGCATTCTTTCTTTAGAAACAACGCTGTCTACCTGGATGGCTGTTTGAACAAATTCAACCAGGATTACATCAACACTGCATGGAATTAGCACCTGTGATGCACATCGTGTCGACCCCTCCAGTTATCACCCACCCTCTTTTCATTATAGTCCTTCAACTATTTTTACAGACTTCCAAAAGAGGAGGAGAAGTCGCCTTTTCTTTCATTTTGTGACCTCCTGCATCTATGCCGATAAGGACGACGTCTTCTCCGTACTTGCATGCAACTGCCCCCGTGTAGATCATCTTTCCTAGCAGATCATATCGTTTGAAATCTTTTGTCTTATTGGCACGGCCGAACAATCCTGTTGCCTTTACTCGGATGGGCGAGTTTGATGTTGTTAGGCCGGAGATGGCTATTTGCAGCACCTAACTCGTGGGCGAATTCGACCAGATAGGGCAGATTATCATCTTAAATGTTCTGACAATACCGCTCTCCTTGTCTCAGTCTCGAATGATCTACAGTCTGTGGTGTCGCGGGCTAATGAGCTCGCGCAATCGCTCAAGTGCAGTGACCTTCCCCTTCCATATTAAGTGCTAAGACTTCGCCGAGGCGGAATAATGAGCCACGCGGGGAGCGCACAGGTGATAATTGTTCGCAACGCCATGGTCGGTGGGTCAGATGGTCGAGCAATCATCACACCAACATCCAGCACGTGATAAAATTGCAGCAATTAACGACGCGAATGTCGGCCATCAAACATTCATCACACCAAGTGCAACGATCCCTGACGAAGGGAGTGAGCCAGGAATACTCGAAGGTTTGCGGTAGCATGGCTACTGCATGCCATAAATACTGCACCCCTTGTGCATGAACCACCCGTATCTGCTTTTGTCTCTGATGATGGGTTCGATCAGGGATCCGAAACGTCATGTCCATTAAGCTCTTGTTCCAGCGACCATGTCTCCTGCATGGAGAATGAAATAGCTATTTCTAGTTTATTAGTCGTCAGCCAGTCACACCAAACCCCAAAGTGTGTAACACCAGGGGTTCGATCCCGCGAACTGTTAGTTAGAAGTCCGGCACCTCTAACCACTAAGCTACAAGCCCCAGGAGTTCAACACTTCGGGGTTGGGTATGGCTGGCTGACGACGGCCAATAAGCCAGAAATGGCCGTTCCAGTCTCCCTTATCTTTGTCGGCAATGGTATTCGGCCTATATCATGCGCCACTGTGGGGCTGCTGGTTGGGCTCGAGAGAAGGCACAACGGAACGATGAGCGCCGCCTACCTTAATCTCCAATATTCTGACGGTTTCGCCCTGCTTGCCCCAGTCTGACTTCGCGGATGAATGAGTGCTGGGTTACGTGCGTAGAAAATAAACAATAACTGGAGACGTTCGTTCTCTGCTGCTGCCTGCTATTCTCAAGGGCTGGTGACTTACATGTTGAGTTTAAAGGGTTCAAAGTCTTGTTAAACTCCCCCAGCATTGTGAAACGAGGTTTCCAACTGGCTACTTATTCGTTAAGCATGATTATGCCAGGCCGAGCTTCCCGTCGACTGTCGCTCTGTGTCCTTGGCAAGGAGGGCTGTTCTGAGTTCAGCACATCGAGCCACCTCGTCTCCTATAGCGCCACTCAGCATTCACTGACGCAGAAAAGGACTCAGTGGCAAATGCGCGGACCCGCCGTCCCTCCCGGACGCACAGCCACAATCTGGAAGCCTTCTAAGCGCAGTTTTGTCTACATCATCAGACAGTACAACAGTAAGACAATGGGCAAACTACGCAAATGACTGCACTTTATGCTGACTGTATATAATTGCACTTAAAATTTCATATGTATATGGAACAGACCGCCTGGCGCACCCCTCGCAATCGAGCGCTGTAAAAACAATTTCCGTAAACTGATGTCTTACTGACAACATTTTAGTACGGTGTGCATTTAACATTTATATTGTGTGCATCGTTTTCAATAGGGCCATCAAGGGCATTGTCTACTACCCTAAAATATACTATACTAATGCTTGTGCCCACTTTGACGGCCCGTGACAGAAACCATTAACCTCTCTAGAGTTTGTGGTCTACTGGCAAGCCTGGTCGGCAAGAGCTTTCGCTAATGCTCAGCGTCCTACAATACCCGCAGCCTACAGCGGGACTCGGCATTCCCGGACGCAGAAAAGGACTAACCTATAGGTGCACAACCCCGAGGCCGCAAACACCGCAACCCGTGAAGTGAGAACGCGATGACGATTCCCAGTCCAACTCTCTCACACAGTAACGTAGTGACATTCAAGTGGATACCATCTCGACTCCTCACATTGCACAGTCGTAAAGAGTAGCGTGCATTTTCTGAAGGGCCTCTGTGCATTCAATTCTACATCCCAGGGATGCGAGTGTACTTTTACACCGGCATAGACAACACTTTTAGTGAACAGTGTGGAGTTCCTCGCTGGTGAGATGAACAGTTGGCGAGATGGTAGTCCGCGCATGGCGTCATTAACAAGCACGGATGGACAAAGATATACGGCCGGACACAGTTGACAGGATAACCGTCTTGCTGATTTCAAGCAGAAAACGTTCAGAAACGAATGGTGGCCCCATTTCGCAACCCTGCTACTATAATTGGGGATCACATAGAACTGGGCACACGCAAGGGTGTGTGAGTGTGCAGTAACCATCACGCGTCGGTCGTCGGCAGCGGCCCCGGGGGGAGCTTGATTCGGTCCCTTCTCTATCCGGTAGGCTGAAGGATCTCGACTACGCCGACGATGTCGCCCTGCCAGCCCTAAGATTTGCTGATCTGTGGTGTCAGGGATGAATTAATTCGCTAAATCGGTCGGTCAACCGGCAAACCTTGTGAAAAACCAAACTATTTCCGAATCGTATCCGTGACCAGGAAAAGGCATCTCTCGGGATTAATGACTGTGAGCGAGGCTGCTGCCGAATCGGCAGAGCAAGGATAACACCGTCTCCTCGACGCATGATGGACACGGGACCTTCAGAGTTTCTGGAAAGTGTCTATGGACCCGACGCGACACCCTCATCGCCACAAATCCGCAGGTATCTGGCATCTGTCCGATCTGTCCTTTTATGGCGTTGTGAATTCTGGGCTCAGCTCGTAGACAAGCGAAACTTGGAGGGTCTCTATCACCGCTACCGTGGAACCATTCGAATGGTTGGTTTCGAATGAGACAGTCCGCATCCGCTGCGAAAACATCACAAAAAGGACGACTTGCAGTGGCCTGGTACGTCCTTCATCGTTAGTCTCACAGGGTCAGGGGTGTTGCCCTCGATCCGGCACTGTCGCCGGCGTGGAGGCAGCAGGGAGGAGTTCAACTTAAAACAGGTCGTTTAGGCATAGAGGTGGTTCTCTGACCAGTATTCAGTCTAGCAGCGAGGCGTCAGCGACAAAAACGGGTGGACTGAGTCAATTTTTCGTTAGCAGCGAGTCGTATAGACGGTCATACTTAAGCTCTAGCGACGAGATCCCCCGGGGACCGCCCGTTGCCGGAGTCGCGATCAACTTGCTGTATCGCCAGACAGCCTTCAAGTAGAGCTAGCTGCAAAACGGACGGGCGGTGAGACTCGGCGAATGAACAATCACCACAGGTCGGTCTTCCCATTGGGCTTCAGCCGTCGTCTGACCAGAGGAAAGCATACCTTTACTAGGTCAGTCCACATAATCGCTGTCTGGTGAGCCACGGTTCGGTGAGATTTTCGGACAACCTAGAGCCATGGAAGGAAATACCGAGAGCTAATAGGCCCCCAGGGAGGTGCACTTTCTCAACCACGTCAACTACTGAGTCGGACTGGGCTAGTGCCACGGGGAGAAATGGCTTCCAGCTAGACAATAGTCACTTCTAATGACGTAACGGTCGAAGCAGACTCTCGACGAAGATGATAACCGCCACCCACCCTTTAGACAAAAACGTTCAAATCTGAGGCCAACGAAGAGGATTAAAATGTAAGGCTCACAGAGTAGGAAACATTTTATACAGAAAAAGACACCAGTTCCGAGGCTGCTTTACTCAGCCTCCATCACTTTGGTTTCCTCTTGCCCGTCATCTGGTTGGCTGCCCTGATGTCGCATCTTACGCCGCTTCCTCTGATGTCGGAGGTGGCGCTCCTTAATGTGTCGCTGCATCTCCGCCTTGTTCTTCTCGTAGGCCTCTATGCCACTGCGATCCATCGGACACTTGGACAGCTCACTCAGCAGCTGCAGCCGTAGGTGTGGGGCTATCCAACAACAGGGGGGTAGAAAAAGCGCGAACAGTGAGTTAGGATTGTGAAACTGAAAAGCATGTGGTGGATGTCGGGTGTGAAAACACTCCTCGAGACTGGTTAGCGAGTTTCAGGAAGCAGTTCACAGGGATGAAATGCAATTGCTGGAACAAGACGTCTACCCGCCTGGCGCTTTGGATTCTAACTCCAATCACAGACAGTCGCACAAAGGGGACGGCTCTCCGGCTCCCGAGGTTAATAATCAAGCGCAATAAATTCCCCCTTAATCCACCTATTCGGCGCTAAAACATTGCGCGGTCAAAATGAACGGCCGCGGGGACGCGCGAACGCCGTTTTCCGTGGCAGTATCGGTGAGCCAAATGGTCGAGTAATTATGTACGCCACCAATCAACACCAGTGGCAATATTACGGCAGTTAACGACTTGGATGCAGAAGGGCAGGCCGTGATTACGTCAACTACGATTACCGACGGTGAACAGGTGGCATGGCAAGCGCGTCTCTTGTGCATCCATCACTGATGGTGGAATCTGCAGGGAATCCGAAACGGACTAAGGATTTTCTCGAGGTACGGGTTATTCCCGGAAAAGAAGGTATGAGCGAGAGAGAGAGAGGTCTACAACAGGTGTTTGTCGACTTCTGATCACAGTAAGCTCAGGGGCTGAACGAGGCTCTGATAGCACTGCCTTTTGCTGTTGCTAATAGACGTTGGCCCAATGGAACCTTATAAATCACGTGACCGGGGTCAACAACATGTGCTAGAATGGCGCTGTTTATGTTCATAGCTTAGCCTCTTTCCAGCACGTCTCACCCCCAATATGCACCTATTGCCCCACTTGCTCCTATGAGGCAGGTTACATTGGTCGCACAAGTCGGAGTCTATCCAAAGGAATACAGGAACATCTCCTGATGTGGCTAGGGAAAGGCAAAGCTAGGTTTAAGTGAGAATCCGAAACGTCAGGCGAATAAAGCCCTTGTTCCAGCGATCGCTTATTCGCCTGATCAAGATGAGGATTACTGGGCAACCAGTGGAGGCGCAAGCGCAGCGAACAAGGTGCTAGAGAACTGCCAGCGAAAAGCATGCTGTGTGGGCAATGGAGACACTCACAATCCTTGAAACTCGCCAACTAGTCCTCTGAATACTGCCATGGGAATTTTCGCAACCCCTTATAAATCCTCCACAATTCTTATAAACACTTATCACAGTACTCATTATCCGCAGATGGCTGCGATAGACACTTAAATACGCTTGCCAGCCGCAAAAGCCGAGGTGCGGCGGGATGGCGAGGGACTACCGTACTGAAAGACGAATTCAGTCTATGATTGGGCAGAACGACCGCAAACTGTGTTAACGGGCCGATGCCGTCAGCTGCAGGGCAAAGTTATTCAGCAGCAAGACGAAACCAGTGTGCTCCGTCCTGCAAACGCTGCTCAAGCACTAGTGAGGCCCCAAGGTTTGAAAGCTATTTCGAGAGGCAGTCTGACTTCAGAAGCGTCCCTCTGTGTGGTTGGGACAATCAACGTGCATTAGGGAGGACGAAAAAATTAAAACAAAACAGCTGGCTAAATCAAGCTTCAGCGTCGCAACCAAAATACTAAGAGTACTATTGCGTGCAGCCGGCAGACCAGTCCATAGTATAAACTGCCAAAATCGGATTGCAGCAAAGGCTGTTGTTGGAGGGAGGTAGCGTATACAACTATGTCAGCCACCTAATCGTCAGGCATTTACACAGCCCCTCCCGGCAATTTTCTTCTGGTACCCAACGTACCTGTCAGTCCTCGGCCGACAGGCCTTTATAGGATAGCCCAGCTCACGACTTCCATCGGTCAATGAATGTGAACTGTAATCTCACTGAAACCCCTCTGTTAGTCATGTATATTGCAAACTGGTATATCGGTTGCACATAACAAGCAAGAGGTAATTTGGTTGCGCCGCTAGAGTTTACTCAATACATTCAAGGCGCACTGTTTTAAAAGAACGTACAAGAAAAAGGCCCTTGATAATATTTGCCTTGAGAGAATTACTGAAATGACATAAGTATGGGAGAACGGGGAGAAATATTAAATTGAATGACTGGTTAGTGTTGTAGTGTACGGATTAACCTGGCATATTTCAGGCACATCAGTGACACATTTAAATCGAATCAAGCTTTATAGGTAACTGAAGCAGAACGTTCGAAAACTGGGGGTTCAACAGCATTACCAACGAAAACAAAACTCTGGAGTAACAAGCCTCGGATTATCTGCCGTCATCAGTTAGTCGTGCAACAATCGCAGGCCGCATGTCTGAGGCTTGAAACACCCGACCAAATGAGCACCGAGCAAATCTTTCACCTGAAATACGGTTCCACATCACATCCATCTGAGCCGTCATTGGCTAGACGTGCAACAATCGTAGGCCGCACGTCTGAGGTTTGAACCCGCCAACCAGCTGAGCACCGAGCAAAACTCTTACCTTCTGAACTACGGTTCCACAGCATATCCCTCTGAGCCTTCATTGGCTAGTTGTACGACAATCGTAGGCCACATGCCCGGGATTTGAACCCGCCAAACAGCTGAGCACCGAGCAAAGCTCTTACCTTCTGAACTACGGTTCCACAGCATATCCCTTTGAGTCGTCATTGGTTAGTTGTGCGACAATCGTAGGCCACATGACCGGGCTTTGATGCCCCTGACCAGCTGGACACAGATCTGACCTACGGTTCCGCGTCCAATCGTCTGAGACGGAAACTATCCAGTCGGAAATGAGCAGCCTTGTTTGATCAGTAATCACGAGGTGTTACCAGCGACGACAGCGACAGTAGAATGATTGTCTCCGCTTCGTAAGCAGGATGCACTGATGAGCGCCAATGATGCCTAGAGTCCAATGGCCTGTTCTGTCACGGAGCCCGACACGAAGGCCTACGTGTCAGGGGCGACGGCGGCGGCTTCTTTCTCTCAACTAAGCCTGTTATAGCTATCAATGTTTTTGGGCGGCAATTCGCTTTTTAAGTGCGAACTACAAGAAGGAGGGAAAATGTACACCGTCAGAAGACTATTGTTGTACCGAATGGGGCTACAGTTCGACCTCATCTGGCAGTGTAAGCATTCGCTCCTTAAGGAAATAAGCGTAACTCGGTAAGATTGGCACTGGCCTACTAGCCATCGTCGAAGGGCCACACCTGGGGGATTCGAACCCGGACCCACTCACGTAAGGTTGTGCGCCGCAGGAGTCCCAAGTTTTTGGAAATTCCAACCAACACGGGAATATGTACTCCCCCATCACATCACAGGTGATTTTATGCCGAATTCCAGGTGGTACCTATTCTCCGGGTCCTCATCTTAGCCCTAACGCTCTTACTTTTTATCCTGACCCTAAAACCTCCTGAATCTTGGCGCAAGACCACATGGGGGTACTTATTCCTAGAAAGCGTCCGAATCTTAGTTGACGGTGGGCACACAGGTCAGTTTCATTCCTCCCTGCATTCGGCCATCGTCGTTTTCACATCGTTATTTTGCTAGCTCGTTCTGCGAAAACTGCCCTTCATATGCAAATTCTCGAATGAAAGTCAAGAGAAATGCGAGCGCAGATGACGATTATAAAAAGTTACGGCAGAAAAAAAACTGGGATAATAAAAACAATAACAAATTCAGAAGCCGTACCATCAGGAAAGAGCAGACTTTCGGGAAGCGGGCTCCAATCGACAGGCTGCAAAAAAGAATAGAAAACAGTGATTAAAACGGTTGCGTCGTACGTTCATTTGGTTCCTTGCTGTTGAGCGCGAAAGTGAACCTCGCCTTGGCCGTTGACCTACAGAAAACTCAATAGGATCGTGTGGACAACGGTCCACGAGACGGTAGACGGGGGGCAACCGATCGTGTTACGGAACTCACTCTTCCCGTTGTGTTTTGGGACTCTCCCTCTCTGTCTCGAGACCAACCAACAACTGCACAGCGATGTGTACTATAGACGAACAACATTGCTGACAAAGACAAGGGAGACTGGAACGGCCACTTCTGGCCAGTCATACCCAACCCCGAAGTGTAAAACATCTGGGGTTCGATCCAAAACGTCGCGGGATCGAGCCCCAGGTGTTCCACGCCTCGGCGTTGGGTACGATCGGCTGATAGCGGCTAGTAGGCCAGAAACGGCCATTCCGGTCTCTCTTGTCTTTGTCGGTAATGTGGTCCTACAGACGTCTAAAAACCCTGGTTGGGCGTGATTCGGAGGAAGGCGGTTTAGCGGGGTGTGGGGCGGGGATGAATACATCGTTAACGATCAATCAGCCTTCTTTCTGCGAGGAAAACTTACCTCAAAATGACATTTGCCTCAAATATATGGCATACAGGAGTCAAACGAGACACCGGCGCCTCCTAATCCCACAGTAAATAGGTGGCAGCGTTCGCAAACTCCATTCCGATTTGAAACAATTGTTGAGGCCGAATCAATGTTGGCGCACGCACTGTAGACTAAATTTTACGTGTCCCGGTCGAAGGTCGGTCCGTTAATTTTTGTCTCCAAAGAAGTTACTTCACCCGCACCGGTCAGGAGACACTGACAGGCTAAATTAGAATGCAACTTGGCAACCAAACCTATTCACACATAGCCGTGCTACTTATAATCGGTGAGTAGGTGGGATTATTTAATAATAAATAGCGCGCCGTTATCGGTTGGCCGTTAATAATAACTTGTAACTTACGTTACCCCACTGGGCTGAGGTACTATCTTTATCGGCGACGATATGCAGTGGCCACACAGTCAGTCTCAAATTTGGCTCCATCAACGCGACAACATCCACCGTGCTCTCCGCTGGTTCGTAGTTAACCAGTGCGCAATCGAGAAGGCGGTCGCCGGGCTTGAAAGACACACCAGATACAACGCCACTGCCCGACGTGGCAGATCGTTTGATGCGGACTTTTCCATCGTCTGTGGTCATTGACACAGCCAGGAGGCAGTTGTGGCTTCAAAGAGAATAAAAGAGAAGGGTGAAAAAGACGGAGAAGACAGTCAACAACCAAGATCTATAGTAGGCATTGTTTTCAAAATTTTTAAAAATAGCGTCGGACGCGCGAAAGGAGGACTTTTGGCATGCCACTCGAATGAAACAAGATGGCCGGAACGATCAACTTACGAGCGAATGCCTACGATAATGAGGCCCTTAACGAAGAGCATGCGTACTGCCAGAAAGGCCTCGCTAGCTTCTGGGAAGTTGCAATCAGCCAACTCCTTCAGATGAGGGCGCAGATCCAAGAATTCTAACTCAGTGCCATTCAGAGCGTCCCACAACCGCAGAATCCCATCCTACAGATGAAGAATAAGTTTTATGTTAAAAATGGACAGTCGCATACAAGTTCATTAATTGCTCGACCCGTAGCTGATGAAAGTTATTCATTAGTTGATGACTGATCGCTCAGTGCTACGCCGGCCTGCCATGGACCTTTGCAGCCAGGAGCGACACAATCACTTAAACTTAACGGTCTAAATAAGCAGCCTGCTTTTCCAACGTTTTTGGTAGACACATCATGTCAAATAAATTATTTTGCATTGATCCGGGGAAAACTTAATGTCTTCCTTGAAACATGGTAAATGAACGTATAAAGCGCTCTGGAGTCTTCCTTGCGATTAATACAGTTGCTCAAACGGCACTTATGGCTTACACGATTCTAAAAAGGCGAAATCCCTTCCCGTGCGCGTTCACCGGAATATTTCTAACACTTGTATGAAAAGCTTATAAAGCACTACAGTATGGGTGGAAATGGAACTTCAAAATTTCAGGTTCCGAAACTGAGAAACTTTGTTTTACTCACAACGAGTTCTACTAGGGTGTTGAAAACCGTCCTTCAAAAGTAATTCCCACACAACGACTACGAGAAACGTGTTTTCCATAAAGGCTTTCTAATAAAAGACCGACTTTATGCAGACATCTAGAAGAATGAAAGGCACAGACTGTCTAAGTAGTTATTCTAGTTGAAATGAACTACTCTTAGGGGGGTCGAGACTGTCAGAAATGGAAAACAAGTTTGGCATGTTGTAGCAATTGACATAAGATTATGTTGCATACTAATCAACATGACAACACAGTGGAGGTTCGTGTTTTGATCGATATTTGGATGCGACGAGAATGTTATAAATTCCCGACCAATGGCTACTGGGCAAGTGGAGTGGTGTCACACAGCACTAAGACCGTACGCCAGTCTGATGAGAGCGAGGAGGGCACGTGCTAAGAACACTGGCACCTGGTGCTTACGTATGACTGGCTGGTAACGACATTCAAACCGAAAACGTTTATTCGACTCCTCGACATCCCTGACGATAGCACTTATCAAGGAACATAGGCTAATCGCGCGGCAGTTTTTCTGTGAAGGTATGAAGATGCTCAACCCTGCCGACGAAAAGCCGAAGAGTTCTTCGACTTCTCTGCTGCATGTGAGACCTGAGGGTTCAACTACCCTTGTGTGCGTGTGTGTGGAATCCTGGTGTGTACATATGGGAGGCCAGGTCGTGCATCTGGTGTGAGTAGAAGAGCTCCCTAGCTCTGCCAGTCACTGTGCGTATTTTCCACATCTGACTGGCTCGGATAGTGGCTGGAGCTTGAGAATGAAAAGGGAGTGTGAGGTCGACGACTCAGCGCATTTTCCTCACTGTAAACAATTTGATGCGCTTGAAGCTAGAAAGCCGCGGCTTGAAAGGCTGTCAGTTGACAGGAAACTTGGACCTGTGCGTCTGTGTGGAGTGGCCGAGCGGAGGTTTGAGAGCCAGACTGCAATAGCTCCTTCTCAATGTGGCCATTATGGCACCCCCATCTAGTGGGATTCGATCAGGGTACAGTGGCATGCCTAGGGGCAGTTCCGGCCGCGCCGATCAGTACGCCATCTCCCCCCTCCAGTCTCCTTGACTACGTCTTGGAAGCGGGCCCGGGTGGGGGAGGGGAAGAGAGTGTGATAAATGCTGACAAGAGGAAACAAGGGAGGGAAAATCGAAGACAAGATACACTAATTGAAAGTCTTAATTGCGAAGGGCGCAAAAGTATGTCATAAAGGAGTCAAACCAGACACCGGCGAATATAGAAACCACTTACAGCAGTTATGCACAAGCACAAGTTTACAAGTACTGGGGCGAGCTCAATTGCAGACTTTTACAAGGCGTGTGGTCGATGTAACTAGGTCAGTATATTTTAAGAGTAATAGGCAATGCCTTTGAAAACCCTATTGTAAACGGCACATACAATATTTGACTTAAAATAAACATGGTACTGAAATGTTGTCAGTAATATACACATTTAACAGAATATTTCCATGGATATGTCGAACCAAAACTTGAGAACATTTAGTTGCAGATTATTTCAGTAAAATGTAATGACAGTCATCCGCATTAGCGGTATGAGTATGCAAGGCGTTGGTTTAGCACCACAGAGCTGTTCTGTCCAGACAAGCGATAGTGTCCAAGCAAATAAGCATCAAGTCTTTGCTTGAACGTCTCCGTGGTATCCGTCACTAGTTAATGCACGGGTCACCGTGCCCGCCCTTAGTCTGCTGTGTAGCACACCGTAGACATAATCGAAATCGACGGATGTAAACGTCTAGTCGAAAAAATATCTGAGAGCAAAATCGTCCCTTTTCAGGAGTATCTTAGGTTTTTGCTTATTTCAGGGGTTTCCGAGACTAGAGCGAATGAATGTACTAACAAAGACATACTGAAGAAGCTGAACGGCACGCAAAAACAAAACAGTGAGTCTCGAAAACTTACGATCGCAATGGACACCAAGTGAGTGCTGTCGACAAAAGTTGCATCCAAGACTGGTCTAAAAGTGGGAGATCTTGTGTCAGGAAGTTTGCGTGAAAGCATACCCGGTGTGTCCCAGACAGAAGGACTCAATCACATGGAACTCCTTGGTCCGGCTAACTCGAATCTTCTCGTCTCGATCAGCGGTAGCCATCAGCCCTCCATCGGTGCTCACGGTCTGTAGGGGGTGAGGGATGAATAAACATCAACTGAATAGCAGTGACGGATACAATTGGAGTCAGCAAAAGTCTGAAATTGTTATGCAACGACAGGCTGCAGTTGAGAAGCCGTCGCGAAATTTTCTGGCGCCATTAAATGCTGCTGTCCTCGCTTGCTTTAAATTCACTCCAGGGAAATATTACTTCACAACAATCTTTGTTGTTGGGGCAGCTTCAAGTCCGTCCTCTCGCTGCAATGGATTACTTCTGTTGTGGCACGCGTAAACGGGGGCTCATGCAGGCCGCCCACGTTTGACTCCATTTAAGGTGAAACGCGGCAAGAAAGCACACATTCGGCAAGAGTGCGATGAATTTTCAATGCCAAATTAAACTCACAAGGCATGTGAGAAGAGAGAGATGACCCAGCATGAAATCACCCTCATCTTCATCGTCCGTTGCCGCTTGAGTAGGACTCAGTTCGTCCAATCTGAACTTGTGCACATATCCCGCTTTCTCACCGACGAATACACAGGAGTCGTCTGGTGAGATTGCGACGCAGCTTGCCTTTCGCGGCACCTTGCTGTAGCGGGGTTAAGTTGGGTGAGTTTAAATACACGTACTATTCACCATGGTAGCTCCAGATACCGTCTGTCGACTTGAAGATCAGAACCCGTTTGCAGTCGTCGCAGAGAACAAAGTAGCGTCCGGATACAGGAGAGAGAGCGCAGGCTGTCACGCCTTCAACTTTGATTGGCTTATCTGGCTCGCTAGATGAATAGAGAGGGGGAAGACTGCGCGCCACAAAATTATCCAATCTACCTGAATAGCCTGTCAAAAGCGATGGTTTGGGAGTGCTTTCTGAAACCAGAAAGGATTTAGTAAACCGAAGGATGATACGAGTGATCTTACGCATGCTTATAGGTGCTGATCCGTGGTCCGAGAACCATCAAAACTTCTGAGGACTGGGGCAGCGATGAGAGCATTGTGGATACTCGAAAAAGGAGGGAAGGGAACAAACAGAAATAAGGCGAAGTTGATGACGCAAAAAGCGCAAAGGAAGGAAAGACCAGAAGTCGACAAAGGAAAATATAGCAGGTCAACCCTAGGTCTGGATAATATGGGACTTAAACTCGGGCCCATCCCGCGACCTGGTATAAGAAAGTCCATTCAACGGTGCTGACCATTTCTTATCTCAACCGAAAGAACAACGGGCCCGTGGCACAATGGCAGAGTGATGGTCTACTTAACACTTAACGACTAGAGAATCCGGATTCGAATTCTTGATCCTGAGATCTGAGATTAGGTACGGCTGACTGACGTACGATATTAAGCCGGAAATGACAATCCCGACCTCGTCCATGCCGATACTCCTTAGTCCGTAATTAGTTCAGATTGGTGAACCATCCAGATCTACTGTGACAGATTATCGGATCGTGACGCAGTGATAATGATAGGTTTCAGTCCGTCGCAGGTAAATTCGAAAGGGCTGTACACTCTGGGTCCCCACTGGCTTACCCAACCGCCAATGAAAAGTAACCTCGCCTCGGGACCAGTCAAGTAATCAGTTCAAAAAACTCGCTTTTACTGGGTGACTGATCAACGGAGAAGGTTATTTGGTTGTTCATAGGACTGGAGATAACCTCTCCAGTTTAGAAAAAAACAAGAGGAAACAAGGAAGAGAAAAGCGAAGACAAGATACACTGATTGAAAGCCTTAATTGCGAAGTGCGCAAAATTATGTCATAAAGGAGTCAAACCAGACACCGGTGAATACAGAAACCACCTATAGCAGTTATGCACAAGCCCAGGTTTACAAGTACTGGAGCGAGCTCAATAGCTGACTTTTACAATGCGTGTGGTCGAGTTAAGTCCTCGACCATTACACAGTAGGAAACCGCTGCATAAATGGCGAAACGGTTGCCAATTTCGCAGCATCGAATCGTCTACTCGGTACCCTAGGAGAAAATCAGTCATAAGCTGGTACTCACTGGGCCAGCTCAGTACTAGGCTCTAGCTTGATACCGACAGTGGAAGCAAGAATTGTGTCGAGCATGCACTTTACATGCATTTACAGGCTCGTTCAATCTCGCTAGTTGCGGTCCGTTTTGAGGAGACCCGACGCCTCAATATGGCTGTGATTGCAACCCACAAACAATGGGTATCAGTGATGGGATGAAAAAATGTAAGAGTAGGAAAAGTGCCTGACGAGAACTGTCCTCTTAAGAAAATCTGCAAGTGGCATTGGGCAGGAAATGTTGCATGCCACTCTGCCCGCGTCCAGGGAACAGACAGCATGATTATAATTACGATTTCTGTTTCCCCAACTACGAGCCTATAAGCTGGGACGACACCCCCGGTGTGTCGCTCGTCTAGAAAGTCAATTAAATGTCGTTCATGCTCTATCCTAATATAGGTTTCATTGCCAGAACCCCTGATGACATTATAGTCGCCCAGGGCTAGCCCAGCCGCGGGCTAGTCTTTCGATTGGCTGACTCTTTTCGACGATCTCACCGCGCAGGAATTCTTTCGTGTGACTAGCACCACACATGCACCATCAGTCCATTGAATTACTAGCCCTGCATAAGCCCGCAAATCCAAACGGGCTAGCAAATGTCTGGCGCTGGGCGCCTACATGCTACCAGGGACCACCACAAAGTGCGTTTAGGAAAGAATGTGTGACCTACGGCCAGCGTGAAGAGTTTTCAGACAACACTCATCTCGTCGCTAGGTCTTCAAACACAGCACTGTTCACAACAGCCCATTCTTATATTTTGAGGTGGCGTTGCCTTTACACAAAAATCAGTGCATCAGAATTCCCTGTATTCAATCGTACTGCATGATCGTGATGAACAAAACTAATTGACTCAAGCTTTGGAACACAAAACGGGCTAAAATCCGAATGCAGGGCCAGATGAGAGACTTTTACATAAGGGTAGACAAGTCACATTAAGATTACTTTGGAATCCAGAGCGATGGAAGTGCGTTTAAACACACTTCTATCGGAGCATCGGCAAATAATCCCTAATAATGGAGTCCGATGATCTTGGGCTGAGTATGTTGCCTAAATATGGTCCCTTCAAATGTGCCTCAAACAACCGCATGGCTCAGCCCGGTGATACATGAATATCCCAAACTATGATTCGGGATATCCCTATATAGGGATTTTCCGTATGGGGATATCACCGATAAAAATACTAAGGTACAATTGGTAAAATGAGTTTATTGGCTAGCGGACAGATCTAAAAGACTATGAATGTGAAGAAAGACTTGGTTACATCCACAAAAATTCGAGGAAAATATATCAGGGTGACAGCATGTGCACCAGCAACAAACGACCGGCACTTCGCTAAATTAACAGCCGTTAAACGCAATGAAGCTCAAGGCCAACCAAAAAACACTTTGAAGGCGACCTCGACGTCACGG